TATAAGCTCTATGGTGTATGTCATTTGCTATGAAACCACAGCCTGCACAGAACTCATCCCTAGAGCAGTAACATAACACACCCATATATGATCTGCATGGGATATAAAGAAGTTAAAAATAATTAAGTGCTGTAAAGTATGCACTGTATAGAGTATATGCTCTAAATCAGGGGTGTCAAACACAAGGCCCGTGGGCCAAATTTCAAATGCAGCCCACTGAATGGCTTTGGAAAAGATAAAAGAGGGTGTAAAGTCTGGACTTTTAACTGTATTTTCATAAATTTTACAGCATTTCCTACTGATAAAGGCCTCTCCCATGGCCATACACTAAGGTATTTAAATAATAGATAACAATTACACGGCATAAAGATAACAGTTTTTTCACTTTCTGCTATAGAAGTTTGTTTTTTTACAATGGGTCCACAGTTTTTGTTAAGTAACAAAACTTTTTTATGTTTTATAATTGCAGGGCAGTCTGGGCAATCTGCAGCCAGAACCTTTTTGCAAAATTTACACATTTATTTTTACAATTTAAGCCCAAAAGAGTCATGCTGACAGATTTTTTTCATTTGCTTTCAGGAACATTTATTTATATGTAGAAAAACTGAGATCTACAGCTGATATTTTCCTTCTTTTCTTTATTAACATATCTCAGGGATTTTGTGTGTATTTACATTTCTTTACACTGATAGAAATGTAAATGATATAGTGATATAGTAAAAGTATGTTCTCTAACGTTCAAGCCTGTATTTTTTAAATGTAAAAAAAAAAGGATGCTTAAAATAAAATAAATGAATTTTTAGCTCATATCTTAAATCAGAAATAATATTTTATAAACCTTGATTTGGAGTAGCAACATTTATATGGTGTTAACACTGAACAAACAGCTGTGATCATGTATGGTCTATTCACAATAAATATGTCAATATTAAGAAAACTACATTTGGCTTTGGAGTGTAAGTTTGCACTAATACAAACAAACATAAATATATATTCAGTCATTTGTTATACATAATAGTCTTATGGCTGCTCAGCGAAATATCTTTTCTGCTTCTTAGCGATCTCCATCGGTTCCATGGCTTTCAGGATCGACACCTTCATAGAGTGGCTGTTTGATGTGTCTCCAGACCACCAAACCAACCCGAATCACAAACAGCACACAGGCTGCAGCCAGCAGCACAGCTGAGAGAAGAAAATCAAATCAGTACAGCTTTTGCACGTGACACACGGTGACACAGAGCTCATTTTGTGGGTGTATTTATCTAAAAAGTTTAGTGTGGATGCAGGGATTTATGTGAAGTCTTACCAATGAAGACGCCATTGCGACTGGGTGATTCAGCATCATAGTTTTTGTCAAGGTTTCCAGACAGCGCCCAGATCACAACGGGGTAGGTAATGCAGACGTACCGCACATGCTTGTCGAGGACAAGATTCTCTAAAACAAACCTATGAAACACAAAACGCGTTGCTTTAGCATCTCAATTTTAATATGTTAGATTCTAACATATATTAATATGTTAGAAGCCTAAGAGTTCAGCCAATTCTACTCCAGTCATATGGATAAAGATCATACAAGGTCAAAGGCCATAAGTTTTAGCTTTCATTGGATCATCTCCAAATTTTAAATATACTAATCATTGGGGGAAATAAGCGGTCTTTATTTGAACTCTTTCAAACATTATTGTTTTAAACAAACATTATTTGACAAATATTACAAAAAGATTAATATACTACATTAGCTTTCCATACTGATGCATAAAGCATCTGAGTTTTAGTGTAGCCGTTGCCCTTCAAAGGGAATTGGAGGGAACTGAGCTCTCTCAATGCTCTCGTTTGGGTTTTTTGGGGTTTTTAAGAAGCACACTCACCATCCAAGCAACAAAATAGTCAAAAGAGAGTATGAGAGTGTGGCAGCATCGTCTTGGGACATGTCTGTTTCATAAGCCAGTACAATGGTCAGGTTGAGGAGGGTTGCAACAGTTGTCCAAGTCGTGTATATCATGACACCATTCTGGACCTGCAAACAGATTTTTTCATGGAGTCCAAGCAAACATTATATTAATAATGTCTGACCACAACAGGCTAATGTAACTTGATCTACATGCAAGATTAAAAGCTTAGCTTACAGTTAATAATGCACACTTACCAACACCCGGAGGAGCCACAGGTCTGCTTTGTGGTATTTGTTGAGCCAAGCTCCATAAACGTGAATCCCATGGCAGATGAAGCATATCATGGAGTAGTTAGTGCAGATGATGAGGATGAGAAACACCAGTGCAGGAATCATCAGTCTTTTTTAAGGATAGATACAGCAGAAAAACACATTTAATGAATCTGTTGAACAGCTTTCATTTACATCTTTCACAGCCATGCATCACTGCAGGCTTAACTCACACACGACACTCAAAGACTCTTACTCTCTGTCCCAAACCAGCAGCCAACCAATATTGACGCCCATGTTGAGACACCAGCTAATAAAGAATCCATAAGGCAGTACTGCAGGAGTGCAGTAAACATATCCATATCCATTCCTAGAAGATAAAAAGTTGATCAACAAATCTGTGGGAACAGTTTTTCAGTGGGTTTTAAAAATAGACTGAAGAGACCTGGATTATATCTTATATCTGTGCTTTAAAAATAACACTGTAGTTTTAAAGAAGAAAATAAAAAGAAGTGGACACAACTTTCTGAAAAGACCCGCAACAATGTAGATGATCATGAAGATCAGCCAGATGTAGATGAGGGTCCAGATGAAAAATGTCCATCCTGCGAAGCGTAAGCTGGGTGTCAAACAAAGCTGAGACATTGGCTTGGGTGGTGTGAAAAGGACCTTTGTGGAGAAAAAGGTTCAATTTTAGGGAAAGTTGACTGTTCGCGGTGTGTTTTCACATCCTTCACATCCAGTGTGTGAATGTGTGTGTGAATGGGTGGATGACTGGATGTGTAAAGTGCTTTGGGGTCCTTAGGGACTAGTAAAGCGCTATACAAATACAGGCCATTTACCATCCTCTACACGAATATCAAAGATGCTGAACACAACTGACAAACGGCTAACAAAGTTTCAACTTACTAACTCCAACTACAGCCAGCCATTAAACACCAAGCTCACTACAAAGGCAGCTAAAGACATGAGTACTGCAGCGATACGTCCTGGGTTGTGTTTTCCCATCACGGTCCTCTTATTCTAAGATGGGAAGAAAAAACATTTATAAACAAAAGCAGGACAGGAAGAAGTGGCAATCGATCACTTTCACACAGTTAACACAGAAGCACTTAATATATCTTTAGACATTTATCAGAAGCTCTTTTTACAACTTTTATCAAGTTTGCCACCATAAAAACAAAACTACACCAAGAAAATTGACTCTTCTTAAGAGAGGGGCCAGATAGTAATTTTTAAATTAATTTTTTAATTCCTGTGTGCATTATCCACACGACATACATGTTTAGTCCGGTCTACTAAAACAGCGTCCACATGATGAGATTAATAAGATTACTGGCTTTGCTCCATGTTGTGTAAGCCGTGTGAAGATCAAGAGTAACTGCAGAGGACACGGGACCGACTTTATATAGAGCGACTAGTTGTGCAAGAAGGTTTATGACTCTTCAAGACATCACGTGCATCTCTTATCCTCTTTACATTTCTGAAACAATCAATCATAAAACGCTGATAAATATATCTACTCATATATTAAATAATTTTGAAAGCACTTATATACAAGTATGTGTTTAATGAATTACAGTTTACAGCATGATTTTATTATGTTATTACTTCCTATTTGTCTCAGCCCTCCTTCATTACAAAAATTACTTTTATACTGTATAACTCGGAGTTTGAAGGTCCTTCATCGGTGGCGTGCATGATAGTAATCCCTGGTTATGTATAAGGTCATATCTGATGATGAACACACTCTTGAAAACAGGGTTTGTGGAATATACAGGTAATTGCTTGCATAAGGAAATCAGTGGGTGGAGGTCTGTGGTTTTTTTTAATCAACGCTTTTTATTGATCTGCAAAAACAAAAAAAAGAGCAAAGCCAAGATAAAAAGATAGATTTGATGAAATTGTACAGCTTTTTAAATCTAAGTAAAGAGCATAATCCACATATCTGTGTAAGTAGACACAACAGATCTTGGAGGCAGCCACACAAATCCACCCAGCAACTAGATATAGATGCAGTCTGCCACCAGCAACTTGTGCTGTTTAGTGGAATTTGTTTAAAAATATACATTAAAAGATTATTAAGGTGTACAACCAACAGAGGCTGGCTCTGAAGACTTAAGACTGACGTGACAAAACCAGCGGACTCAGACTGGAGCAGAAAACACGCATAATCGTAAACTTTGAACACAACTGAGATTTGTTACCTTTGTGCATTTGTTGACTCCGTTCACGTTTTTATTCGCTTAAATGGTTTTATTCCCACAGCGCTCTAAATAGTAATGCATTTACTTACAAGTGCAGTGTGCTCTTAGTTTATGCAATAAAGATGATTTTTTTATGAGGCTGATCAACAATCAGCTCGAGAGCTCCATTCATTGTGTGTGTGTGTGTGTGTGTGTGTGTGTGTGTGTGTGTGTGTGTGCGTGTGTGTGTGTGTTTATTAAACATAACCATATGTGTTAAAATGACATTTTTTAAATCTTATCATCCATCCTTGTCATTATTAATGAATCTGAATTGCTTTGTCTTCTCTCTTATTGAACAGATGTGCTGTCTGTTAAATAACTCAAAAAAGACACCATTAAAGTCAGTGTTAACGTTTATTTTTACAGCTTATGAAAGAAAAGTAAATGAAAGCATAACTACATTTTTCATGTTTATGTGGTGAAATCAGAAATACACACTTTATTGCAGTTTATACTTTTTGACAGGTGTGAACCTTCAGCTTTATATATCACTTTATGAGGCTTGATGATATTCAGCTGAGGCTGGAGTCATTTACAATACAGCCCTGGTATCATACAGAAATCATACTGCAAATCTTTTCCTCGCTCTCTCACTTAAATATCTTTTTCTGCTTCTCTAAATTCTCCATCGGAGACATTTTGTCAGGGTTTACGTCTTCGTAAAGCGGCTTTTTCATTTGCCTCCAAATGACCAAACATATCCGAGTGGCACACAGGGCACAGGCTACACCCAGCAGGGCAGCTATAGTGGAAAGAAAATATCAGAGCGTGGCATCAGTGTGCATCCACATATGAAGTTATCATTTATAGTCAGTGCTATAGTGTCATTGAGACCGGTTGATGGTTTATCCTCACCGATAAAGATGTTGTTGCGGGTAGGAGCTGCGGTGTTGTAGTTTTTGGTGAACACCCCTGTCAGCGCCCAAATCACAGTGGGGTAAATGCTGAAGATGAATCTCACATATTTTTCAAGAATGGAGTTTTCCAGGATGAACCTGTGAGAGAGACGGCACCTTTTATTGATCCATTTTTTCTAAAGAAGTCGCCCTTGTTGTTTCCTCTGTTTGTCAACTTACCACGCTATCAGCACAATGGACAAAACAGAAAGAGCAAGAGTGGCGCCGTCAGCGTGGGACATGCTTGCATCATACGTCAGCACAATGGTCAGGTTAAGCAGGGAGGCAATAGTTGTCCACGTTGCATAGATGGCAATGCCGTTCTGAATCTGCAATGAAGACAAAGCAAAAGACAGAGATGCTGAGATTATAACCATGTACATGAAAAAAAAGAAACGCAAACATCAGGTGCCATACTAACCAGCAGATGATGGAGCAACAGGTCTGTTCTGTGGTATTTGTTGAGCCAAGCTCCATAGTTATGCAGACCGTGGCAGGAGAAGTATATTACAGCGTAGTTAGTCAAAGCGATTAGGATGAGGAAAGCCAGCGCAGCAGGTGTGTACCTTGAGCAGGGATGAAAAACAGAATTTGACCACAATGAAAACAATTAACCTGCATGTTAGAAGCTGTGTTTACATGCTTCTTGCATGGACATACTTATTTTTCCCATTTATTGCATGATTTCAGGTCAATCTTATCTGCATATTTAGGCCAAGAGGGCCTGACAATGTGATTCAACACAGCTTCATTTGGTTACTCAGCTTAGGTGGACTAACCTAACTAATCAGCACTATATCCAGCCCTCATTTATACGCCCCCTTTTCTAATGCAGAAAGGAAAAACATTAATCAATACTATGGCTTTTTAATGATATCATTTAAAACTCTCATCACACTCACTTTCTGTCCCACAGGAGCAACCATCCAATATTGACGCCCAGATTTAAGCAAAAAGTTACAAAAAATCCGTGTGGCAAAACTGCAGGGCTGCAGTAGACATAACCATAGGCATTCCTGCAGAAAGAGGTAAATGTAGACTTCAACATCATATAGGAGAAGAAAAAATTTGTCTCAAGAATAAAAAACTTACTTCCTAAAGATGCCTGCAAAGACATAGAGCACCCCTGAACCCATAAAGATGTAAATGATGGACCAGATGGTAAAAGTCCACCCTGAAGGCGTGATCTGGGTCACAAACTCATCTGAAATGTTTGCGGTGGTGGATAAAAATGGATCTGTGGCGCAGAAACACAGAAATCAGAGAGAGAGACAGAGTGCTCAAAGGTTACAACGTAATTCTAAAAGTATTAAAAGCCAGACTTACGTTTTCCTAACGCTGCCAGAGCAGACAACACAATGGTGACGATGTAGAAAATCACTGCCAGCACTATGGCAATGGCAAGAGTGATGTGGTGTTTTGCCATTTTTAGTAAGCCAGTTTCTATAAAACAGAAGAATTATAATTGAAGACAAATTATAACAAGTTTCTAAATTTCATATTAACAAGTTGCCATCAGTATTACATGTCACTAATCAGAAGAAGCCATGACGTACCGTTTAATGTCTTTTCTTGACTGAAAGCACTGGAAGACTGCTGTGTGGGGTGGGCTTTTCTTTTTTACATAAAACGAAGCTGGTTTTGTAACAGTGGAGCTTTTATAGCCCTGTAGCACGTGTACACGTTTGACATCCTCCACGTGTCTCTGTTTTCGGCTGATTAACTGAACAAAAAAGGGGTAAAACAATCCTGTTGCCGAACTCACTCAGCTTTATAACCATCTTCATAACTTTAAACATACATAAGAGCTGGACTTTGCCCCAGCAGTCGTGTTTAGTAACAAGTTTTATCGCAGACTCGTATCAGCAGCAGGTGAGACCAGGGAATGAAGAGCCAAAGGATTATATCAGCTTTAAGCAACTTAACCCTCACAGTTATGAAATGTTGGGTAGCTGCCAGCTGGAGATCTATGTATCCCAATTCTAAACTTCTACGGGTAAATGAGAAGAGCCAATGATATGTTTGCTAATGACAGGCAAAATAAATCAGCTAGGATTATATAGAGCTGGAGTGCACATGAAAACAGAAGGTCATGTATGATCACGCACATACACAGAAGGCCACACACACTCCACATCAGAGCAAGACTTTACTAGAAACACATGTAAAATGCTGCACTGAGTTAAAAGTTTATGATCACCTGTTTGGTCAATTTTCGTTTCTTTCAGCTGTTTTGTTTCTTATTTGAATCACGTGATCCAACAAAAGATATCTGTAATATATAAAGTTCTGGTCTTTAGGACATATTTTTATACATCTGTGGAGCATTTAAAGATAGTGGAAGTAGGTTAACTGCACTTTTTTCACACATTTCCATCTGGAAATTAATATCCAACATTGTTTTTTGGAGGATTCTTAAGGGGAAAAAAACAGACGAGACTGAGACTGAGCTTACTAAAAAGCACCACTGAACGACACAGGAAATAATTTCCGTTAGGGATCAATAAAGTATTCTGATTCTGATGATGTTAACATTTCAATAAGTATGTAATGTCGTATTTAAAGGCAGTTTGTTGTGGGGGTTACGTCCCTCTGCAGCTTCTAATCGTCTCAGTGTTTTCAGCTGGTGCTAATTGGCCACACCTAGTCAGGTGTGGATAAAAGCATACCTGAGGCAAGCTTTCCGGCAGTGCACTAGTCTTTGCCTTGGTGGCACCAGCCATTTTAGCCAACCTGGTTTTCCATTTTAGGATGAAACCTCTTCTCACCCACACTCTGTTATTCATCTCCTTTTTTTATGTTGCGGCTTTTGAGCCGGGTCGTAACAGGGGGTTTTACAGTTTTTACAAAAAAGCTTGTTTGCATGTTATCGATTCAAAACCTGCGATAATGTTCAGATTTATGTGCTGGATTTGTATTCAGATAAGCTTATATTTAGAAATGTAGGCTTTATAATGCATTTTTAAATGTATGCAAAAGTATTTAAATGTACATTTTTAAGAACTTGTATTAGGAAATTAAATTGTCTTGATATACAACACTGTGCAAGCATCTTGAGTGACTCATTTCTTAATATTTCGCTTCCAAGGAGCCAGATTTTGTTGTATTTTATCAACTTAATATATATTCATATGTCTGCTCTGTCACACATACACTCATTTCTGGTAATCAGATGGCATCTAAAAATCTTGGCTTTATCTCTGAATGAATATTTGGGTCATTCTTCTGTAAAACTCAGGCTGGAGGCTGTAGAGGAGCTTTTCTGTATCATGTTCTAAACAGCACAAGTTTTGATGCATGCAGTGACATTGACACGTAGTGAGCCACACAAATAGCATGTTGAATCTTTCACACACCGTGCAGTGTGTTTGTCGCCTCACCAGACCACAATGATGTGTGCAAAGTTACATTTTATCACACAAACTGTAATTTGCATAAATTCCTATGTGAGGCATTTAGTTCTAATCAGTAAGAGCACTGTCTCTAAGCATGTTTAAGAGGAGTGAGCTACAGCTTTCTCAGCACCACTGAGCAGACTCCCTGCTCCAAGTGGCAAAAATGAAAGTGAAACATTCAAAAGTGTAGATACGCTTCCCTCTTGTCAACTGACAAAATTCATTGTACCAAAAAGATTCCTGATATCCAGGCGTATGAGATGTCATCACTCACTGCACACATCAAGTCGGCTGTGACAGCAATTCATATGTTTTTAAAAAATCCCCATTGTTGTGCACACAGGGTGGGGTGATCTCTGAAGACATGATTCAAATGATTTTCTCCAGCTCTCCTGAGCAGCAGCTAATAGGTACTCAGCGCTTTAGGAAACTACTTTCTAAAGGTAAGTTTTTCTTTGGACATTTGCTGCTCTTTCATTCATTTTCAGTCCAGTTCTTGTACCTGAACATTTTCAAAGGACTCTTTTGTTTTTTATTAAGCCACTTAACTCTGACCTATGAATCATTTACGCATGTTTTGAAAGTACGAAACACAAGTGCTGAACCAGTGTTGTGTCCACACATAACAGCAAAACCCTAGAAGAATGACCGCCTATTCTTCAAAGAAAACTCAAGAATGAAGGTGGTCATACTAAATTATAACTTTGACGCTCATTAGAATTGTACAAACTCTGTTTTGACCTTGTATACTGTATTTCCCCAGCCCCTCTATTTTGAAACTAAAACTATTGAACCTTAATTCAATTTCTCACTTCACATAATCGTTTCACTTTTGCCTTGAAGTGTTACTTTTAATTTAATTTAATTATTTTTTATGACGCATGTTCTCTGGTGAGTTCAGGTACATCTGTAACATGTGAGTTAAAATTTTCTATAATACCAAAAAAAAGACAAAATACTGATGTTTTTGTCGAATAATCTGTTTGACATGAGAGATAATATAGCATTTGCATTTTAACTAAAAGACTCGCGCACTGACACTATGGGCACATTTTTAGAAATCTTTTTAATTCCACATATTAAACAACAACAACAATAACAACAACAATAAACACTTGAGGACTTTAAAGAGTTAAATTTTTTTCCAAAGCTTGAGAGCGCTCACCCCGGCTCGGGGCTCCACAGATGTGATGGATGAGGGCTCCTTGCTGCAGGCTGCAGCGGAGTGTTTGACAGTCAAACTTGAAACAGTCTTTGGAACTGAAACGGTCTCTGCCAACATGAACACATACCCCAAACAGTTCGGTAAATATGTACAGTTTCTCGCAGCTTCAGTTTTCAGTTGCTGGCAGAACTTGGGACACCCTCAAAGCTGGCGCAGATTTCTCCCGTTGAGCCTGCGCGTACTGGCGAGCGCAGATGTGATGGATGAGGGCTCCTTGCTGCAGACTGCAGCGGAGTGTTTGACAGTCAAACTTGAAACAGTCTTTGGAACTGAAACGGTCTCTGCCAACACGAACACATACCCCAAACAGTTCGGTAAATATGTACAGTTTCTCGCAGCTTCAGTTTTCAGCAGCTACCAGAACTTGACTCCTGTCTGCATCCTCCCAGCCACCTCCCACTTCATCTGCGGGCAGTACCTGCGTGTGTGAGCGCTGTCACCGGTGGCTTCGCAGATCGGGCAAGTGTAGTTCCGGAGGATGGGGCAGAAAACTTTCCCGTCGTCTGATTTGAGCTTGTGAGATCGGTACACCCTCGGAGTCTCCCCGTTTTGCTTGCAGAAGCGGCAGTAGTCCGAGGATGACGCGCTGCTGCTGGTGTCCGACGCGCTGCTGGTCGGACTGAACTGCGATGAGTTTTTGGAGGATTTCTTCCCCGAGTGGAAGTGTGGACCTTACTCCAGGGGGGCGCTTGTCCCTTCTTTGGACGCTCGGTGTCTCGGTTATCAACCTCACGGTTGCTGCACAGTTTCTCGAACACTTGGCTCAGATTCATGTAGTCGTGCCACATGTTAAAGCTGTCCCCACCAGTGAGGATCGAGCTCTGGACCTCCAGTCGTCTCGGCATTGTGGTCATTTTTTGGCAGAAGTAAAACTGAGGGTGTGTTTGGAGCGCCTCATATTTATAGCTCACTGAAGATGGTTTTAAAATGCAACAATGTTTGGAGCCTATAGATTGCATGCAGCCTGGCGACGTTTTTTGGAGGCAGAGAGAGAGAAAAAGAACTTTGGTGCAGGTGCAGTCTTTTATGTAGCTTTCTGGTGACCTTATAAGAACCTTTGCGAAGCCCGTTGACAGGCCTTTAATCGAATGATCGGTTGGTTGATTGATAACAGAAAAAAATGACACATAAGATGGACATAAAGGACTGAAAACACCAAGAGCAAAATATTGCATCGCACTCATTTATGTAGTTTATGTTTAGATTAGATAATTTTGCAAAATAACGCAGCAAAATAAATAATAAGAGCCGGGATGTGGAGACTATGTAGCACTGAAAAAACTCCGTCCATGTGAACAGAATCAGGGTTAATAGGTGAACTGTCTTGGTATAGTTGGGTCACGCAGAGTTCATGCATTTTTTTCTATCGTAGTGCGTTGGCCTTTATCCTCTCATCCCTCTCGATCTCTGTCTCTCTCTCTCTCTCTCTCTCACACACACACACACACACACACACACACACACACACACACCACACACACACACACACACACACACACACAGTGTTTAATAGATAGATAGATAGATAGATAGATAGATAGATAGATAGATAGATAGATAGACTAAATTCAAAGTGAATTATGTGATTTAATCTGTTAAGTTCAAATCTCCATTCTTTCCCTTAGTTTTGCATGTTTTGCGTTTTTTTTTTCTTTGTCTTTTCTTATTTTGTCACTTGTTTACAGTTTTATTATTATTCGTACTTCTAATGTGCTTGTGTCTGACAATGGGCCGTGTATGTGTGTGCGTGTGTGTCTGAGGATGATGATGGTCCATGTTGTGTTACTTGTTGTTTGTGTGTGTGTC